CTTTGAGGGGGGTCATTATTCTGCTTACCATAGGAGAGATCACAATATGTCAAGGGTAGAATATCTGAGCAATTCTGCTCAGCAGTCCGGCTCCAGAAGCAGAGCATATGGACTATGGAAGTGGTCCAGGGTTCGAGTTCTGCTGGGTGGATGTGGTACACAGAAACTGTGGACCCGATGCTCATCTGGAAGGTCTTGGATGGGGAGGAGCAGGAGGATAAGAAGCTAGGAAGGAGTTTATACTGGGAGAAATGGAGTGGGCTAGGGCAGGGCTCCCCAAATTTTAGTATGTGTTCAATCATGGGAGGAGTTTAAGCAGAGATTTATATTTATGGGTGGGATCCAGGAATTGGCCCAGGGAATTCTGATGCACCTAGTGGGTGAGTCCATGTGTGAGGAATGCCGATGTAGATCCTGAAGGTCTTGAGGTTCAAGAACTCATGCGATAGGAGTCAGGAATTAGGAGGCCTGGAAGAGTAAAAGGCTGGGATGGATCACACAGAGGGATTTTTGAAGCTGGAGCTCATTTTTTTTTTTTTAAATCCTTACCTGAGGATTTTTTTCTGTTTATCTTCAGGTACTAGAGTGGGAGAGAGCAACGGAGAGAGAGAGAGAGAAATAGTGACACGAGAGAGACACATGGACTGGTTGCCTCCACACTACCCCAACAAGGGCCAGGGATAAACTCTTTGGTCCGCGGGCCAACACTCTAACTACTGAACCAAACCGGCAGGGCTGGAGCTCATTTTTGAACCTGCTGAGCTTATTCCTACCTTAAGGCCTTCACAATAGCTATGCCCTTTGCTTAGCACAACGCTGTCCATATATATAGTTGAAAATGTTCTAGTACTCACATTGAGGAGGCCCGTACAAGGAAACAGGCAAAATTAATTTTAATAATATATTCTATTTAACTCAACATAGCCAAAATATTATCATTTGATATATAATTACTATGAAATTATTGAGATATTTTTTTATATCATTCTTGTCTTATTAACTCTTCAAAATCCAGTGTGTATTTCATGCTTGCTTCACATCTCAGTTTGGACCGACTGCATTTCAAGTGCTCATTAGCCTCATGTGGCTACCATATTTGCCAGAGTGGAATGTCGCCCTCCCCTCATCTTTTAATGGCTGGCTCCATTTCATTCAGGTCTCTACCCAGAGATGTCTTTCCTGGCCACACTGTCTAAACCAGCCACCTTCCACTTCTAACACTGCTTCTTTTCTTCAGAGGCTTATTGCTATCGGATGCTTTATTACTTGTTTGTTTGCTTATTATCTGCCTCCCCATAGGATATAAATCCTATGAGGGCAAAGATCTGTCTGTCTTCTGTATTGCAATACCCCCAGCAACTATATCACATCTTCAATAGACTCTCAACAAATATTTGTTGAATGATTTAGAAGATTCCAGATTCATTATTTGTTGTCTCCAAAGCCAGTGTTTATTCAGTAGGATGTTGGGGGAGAGGGCCAAAGGGAGGAGCATTATGCAAGAAGTCGGGTGGGAGAAAGCTAGCTTGATAGCTTTCTGTGAGCTAAAAGGCTGACTCTCAGATGTCAAGTTAGATGCCCAGTTGCTTTCCAGCTGTGATTTGGTTGAGTGTTGATTCAACCACTGGCTTATCTGGTTCTATGAGAAACCATCTTACCAAGTGGTACTTCTGCCTGATACCAGTAGATGGGGCAGTGTCATAACAAAAAAAAAGTAGTCTGCCCTCCGGTGGGGTGTCTAACCCCTTCCCCAGCTGACTTTGCTGAAGTTCTGTTCTGGAAATGCTGTCTCAGATCTGTGGTGTGGGCTCATAGACGGTGCTGCCACTTTCCCAACAAAATAAACACAACCTCACTTGTACCCTGGCTGGTTTGGCTCAGCGGTAGAGCATCGGCCACAGACCAATGATTCAGCCAAGGGCACGTACCTTGGTTGTGGTTCGTCCCGGCCCTGGTCCGGGTCGTGCGGGAGACAGCCAGTCGTTGCGTCTCTCTCACGTCAATGTTTCTCTCGCTCTCCCTTGCTCTCTCTCCCACTCTGTCTGAAGATAAATAGAAAAATATCCTCAGGTGAGGATTAAAAAAAAAACCAACCTCAGTTGTGACTTGTGCTTTCTGAGGATGGTGAGCTTCTCCAAAAGGTGAGGCAGGCCCCAGGTGCTGGCCCAGGCTTCTAGGAGACAGCCCGGTCCTCCTCCTGAGTCTTTGCACACAGACACAGAGCATGACTCTCACACAGGAGTATTCCCATTGTCTAGATAGAACCTTTCTGTCCTCCCAAGGTTGAACACAAACTTATGGAGAAGGTAGTCCAACCTTGGCCAGTTTGGCTCAGCGGTTAGAGTGTCGGCCCACAGACTGAAGGATTTGGAGTTCAATTCCTGGTCAAGGGCATGTACCTAGGTTGCAAGTTGGATCCCCGGCCCTGTATCTCTCACATCGAAGTTTCTCTGTCTCTCAGCCTCTCAGCTCTGTGGCCTGTGTGTCCGGGACCGACACTCTGGCTGCGCGGAATCCTCCCTGCCACTCTGCACCACTGGTTTCGCAGGAAGCCCATGTGGTATACCTTGCAGATGCTGAGGCCAACTTTAGCTCCCACCACTTGTCCCACCCCCTCCTCCCCAAACCTTTCTGACCCTTGGACCTCCAAGCAGTTTGAAATGTTAACTGCTTGAACATGATGTCTACTTTTGTAGAGTTTAGACTTCAAGATTATGGCCCAGTTAAAGGTCACTTAGCACAGGTTAATTTGATGTTTTTTTACTGGAATTTTTTGTTTAGAGCACGTACTGTCTACTTCATTGCCACTGGAAGATATTCCGGAAATTTGAGCCAAAGAGGAATTAACCTTGGTTTATTTATAAAAAATATCCTCTGAGGATATTTTTTTCCATTTATCTTCAGATAGAGTGTGAGGGAGGGAGGGAGAAAGAAAGAGAGAGAGAGATATCAGCATATCAATTGGTTGCCTCCTGCAGGAGGCCAACCAGGGCCAGGGACTGAACCAAAACCCAGGTATGTGCCCTTGACTGGAATTGAACCCACGACCCTTTGGTCCTCAGGCTGAGGCTCTAAATACTAAGCAAAACCGGCCAGGGCATAACCTTGGTTTAAATGGTTTATAATCCTAACTAACTCATTCCAACACCATGCCTGGTACCCCTCCATTAACCCATCAATGAGGCTGAGAAGAAAGATATCACATCTCTGGTCTAATGACAGCCTGGGGCCAATTGGCCATGAAAAACAAAACAAAACATTCCTTCCCTCAAAGACTAGGAGGGCCCAAAAAGCATGCTCAAGAGACTTTCTTCTTCGATCAGGAAATTTTCTTCTTTCATTGTTTCAGTCATTAAACTCCATCCTAGTCTGATATGTGATATTGCATTTTCATGTTCTGTAAGTTTGCTGTCCTCTGTACCCAGAAGTCCTTTAATTCTGACCTGCTTGAAGAATCCTGTTCCTTCTTCACACAATGAACCTTTTCTTACAGTTCTGGGTCTTTCTCAAGGCATTTAGTCCACTCTGTCTTGTTCATATACGTATCTCATTCATTAATTTAACAATTAAGCAGTGCCTATTTGTACCAGGCACCAAAGATACAAGGTGCTCTCTTAGAACCCACAAACCCCAAGTTGAGTGGACTTGACATCGTTCATTGGACTGGGAGCTTCTTGGAGACAGGAACTGGGTCTACAAGGGACTAGGTCAGGGACTGGCACCAAAAGGTATTCAGAAGTTAATTAATGCCAATGACTCTGAGAAAGCTGAGTAAGAGTTTTTTAAAAAAGTTAAAAGTTAGCAAAGGTAGAAGGCCAGAGAATTTCCAGAAGGGGCTACAGTGGTTCTGAAATCTGGCATGGAAGCCGGAGACATCCACGATGCCCCAGTGGAGTGGGCCTGTGGAGTGGACGTTGCACTGTCATCTCTAGAACAAACTTGGAAGTTTGATGCAGGATCATCTAGGTGTTTATCGCACATTCCAGCTAGAAGTTTTTTTTTTGCTTTGAGAAGCAAGCAGGTTGTTTCAAAGGCCCAGAAATGAGTTACTAGCCAAAGGTCAAACTGGTCAGATGATTAAAGCTACATTGTTTAGTTGGCACATAAGAAAAGCATGATTCATGTGATTATCATTCCCAGTGGAGGGTGGCCTGGCATTATTTGACACGCAAATAAAAAATGTCACTTGAATTTTTACTAGGAATTCTCATCCAAAATGTGTCAATGATGTAATAAAACTGAATGACTGGCCTGTCAAAGTAAACTGAGTTCTGGTCACACATTAGCTTTACTTGGAAACTGGAGATATCTCAGAAAATTGGGATACGTAATACTCTGAAACTTGACAGCAGCAGGGGGCGCTGCTGGGAGTTAGCAGCAGGTAGCTTCTTATTTATAGACTATATACCTACTATATTGTTCACTCCAATCTCACTATTACCAAGAAAGGCTCCAAGATAGTGAAAAACAAGTCTTGGTATTTTCTTTGCTCCTCTCTATTTTCTGTAGTAGAATAAAGTTCTGTAAAAAATAATATTAAACAGTACTCAGCCATTCTCAGAGTGCTGCCACGTAATGAAAGAACCACTATTTTCCTCAACCTTTTTGCATAGTAAATTATAGTATTAAAAATCCCACCTTCTACCACCTCCTCAAGTTTCGATGGAGACATTTATTCAGCGAGTTGCAATTCATCCTGGAGGTGGAGTGTCAGAATTCAATTTGCTTTTCCTAAGGGGTAACCTCGGTCTTGGTGATATCTGTAGATAAAAGAGATGCTGGTAAATTAGGGATGTAATTGCTGGATTAGACCTGTATCCCTCTTCCCTTGACCAATGGCTGTAACCAGGTCCCTTTAAGACACCAGGAACCTGCCGGGCGTCCAAACCCGAAATGGATAATCTCTGCTCCTCCCCTGTCCCGGCGCGGCGAATGGTTCGCGCCGGCCTATATTTACCCGAGATCTTGCTCGGGGACAGCAAGGATGTGAAGCTGGCGAGCTGGCGAGCTGACGAGCGCTCGCAGCATCGGAGGGGTCGCGCTGCAAAGGCGGGTAACGGACCGAGGGGAGCCCGGGAGCGGAGTTGGACATCCCCGGAGGGAAGAAATGAGGTAGCGACCATCCCCGGAGCCGACCATGCGCACGCCCTGCCTTTGGAGCCCCGCGCTGCCCTGGCCGAGCCAGCCGGGACTGTGAGCCGGCCGAGCCCAAGTCCCCTGCGTCCGGTCGGAGCCAAGATGCAGTGAGCTACGGCGGGACTGCTGCGCGGGGCCCGCCGCGGCCAGCCGGACCCACCATCTGACCGCACTTGGGGCAAGCAGCTGATTCTGGGACCAGCTCAGCGGAGTGGCAGTCTGCCTCCAGCACCCCTTGACGGTGGGGAGCACTGGTCCCGGGGCTCACTCCCTGTTGAGTTTCCGAGGTTTCCGGCCCCAGCCCTGGGAATTGTGTGTGTATGAGAGGGGCCCTTTACACATTCGCCGAGGAGTTCCTGCTATTTTCGCACTATCTCGGCTGTTTTTGCTTGGGGTCCTTCTATTTATTTGCAGACGTGCATCTTTTTTAAAAGATATTTTTCGCTCCACTCTCGTTCTTTTCCTCGTTTTGCTTGCCTAAGATCTTTGCCTCCGTGCTTGCCCAGGCTGGGGTAAATCCTGTGTGCGCTTTTTCCACACTCGTAAGTGATTATTTTCTTCCCTTAAAAAAAAAAATTCTACCCCTAACCCCCGCAGGGTTCCAGAGCACTACACCCCTCTCCCACCTCCCACTCCCTGCAACTGGGCCAGTCCCAGAGACTTTTATTTTTTGGTCTTGCCCGGACCGAGCCTGGCCTAGGCGGGTGGCTCAGCGGGGCTCGCACTCCGCGCTCCGCCACCACCGCCGCCGCCCAACTGCGCGGGGGCGCCCTCCGGAGATGCTGCCGTGGAAGAAACACAAGTTTGAGCTGCTGGCCGAGGCGCCGCCAAGGCAGGCGTCCAAGCCCAAGGGCTACGCGGTGAGCCTGCACTACTCAGCGCTCAGCTCGCTGGCGCGGGCGTGCCCCGAAGGTGCGCTTAGCCGGGTGGGCAGCATGTTCCGTTCCAAGCGCAAGAAGCTGCACATCACCAGCGAGGACCCCACTTACACCGTGCTGTACCTGGGCAATGCCACCACCATCCAAGCGCGCGGCGACGGCTGCACTGACCTAGCGGTGGGCAAGATCTGGAGCAAGAGCGAGGCGGGCCGTCAGGGTACCAAGATGAAGCTGACTGTGAGTGCGCAGGGTATCCGCATGGTGCACGCCGAAGAGCGCGCGTTGCGCCGGCCGGGCCACCTCTACCTGCTGCACCGCGTCACCTACTGCGTGGCGGACGCGCGGCTGCCCAAGGTCTTCGCCTGGGTGTACCGGCACGAGCTCAAGCACAAGGCGGTAATGCTGCGCTGTCACGCGGTGCTGGTGTCCAAGCCCGAGAAGGCGCAGGCTATGGCCCTACTGCTCTACCAAACGTCGGCCAACGCACTGGCGGAATTTAAACGGCTCAAGCGGCGGGACGACGCGCGTCACCAGCAGCAGGAGCTGGTGGGCGCACACACCATCCCGCTAGTGCCGCTGCGCAAGCTGCTCCTGCACGGACCTTGCTGCTACAAGCCGCCGGTGGAGCGCAGCCGCAGCGCTCCCAAGCTCGGCTCCATCACTGAGGACCTGGTCGGCGAACAGCAGGAGCAGGAGCTGCAGGAAGAGGAAGACGAGCACACCGAGGGCTACCTGGAGGAGGAGGTGGAGGAGGAGGAGGAGGAGGATCGTGCCCGGGAGGGGGACCCGGCAGAGGAAGAGGCCGAGGCTCAGCGGGCGCTGGTGGTGGCCATGCACTTCGAATGTGGAGACTTACTGGACACGTTGGAGAGTGGCCGGGAGGAGGCGCTGGGGGACAGTGGGGTCTCGCTGGGCCCCGGGGCTGGGCCGCCGCCTTTGCTGCTGGGCAGCTCCTCCGACGTAAAGGCCGAGCTGTCGCAGCTTATTAACGACCTGGGCGAGCTCAGCTTCGGCAACGACGTTCGAAGCCTGCAGGCCGACATGAGGGTGACGCGCCTGCTGTCTGGTGAGAGCACCGGCAGCGAGAGCTCCATAGAAGGCGGGGGCCCAGACGCCACCTCCACCACCGCCGGGGACCCGTCCGGCCCTACGGACCGCGCCAGCCCTGACGAGCCGCGCTCGGGCTGAGCTCCACTCAACCTGCGTCCGCCTTGGTGCCCCACCGTGACTCCCCACCAGTCTTCTCGACTGCTTCCTTACCTAACCCTGACCTCCGCTCGCACCCAGGAAAGGGCCAGTGGGACACGTGAAGCCCAGAGTTCCCCCTGCCCCTCTCCCTCGACACATTTGGCTGTGTTTTAAGTGGAGCTCAGGTTGCAGGTCGAGATGTGGGGGTGGGGTGGGGAAAGCCTACAAGGAGGAGAGACGCAGCCCCTTGGGGTCAGGGGTGAGGGAAATGCCGGCTGAAGTTAGTAAAGTCCCGCAGGCGTCAGGTGCCTGCCGGCCAGTTTCCTGTTTGTGGGGCAGCTGGGGCCTCAGAAGGAGGGGTTAACTTCCTCCCCACCCCTCTAACTGGGAGCAGCCTAGCATTGTCATTGGCAAGTCATTTAAAAGAAAAAGGAATTTACTCTCACAATGTTTGAGGCTTTGTGCCGCCTCCTTGCCCCCAAGTGTTTTGGTGTGAGAGCTCGGGTTGTTTACCTCAGACTAAGACCCTTGAAATTCTGCCAAATTCTTCGAATAATTGTTTGGAGGAGGGGGAAAGGGAAATGAAAGAAAGTTGCATTTTGTTTACAGTTAAAGACATGTAATATCTAAAAATAAAAAAACAGTTTTCTTTAGAAACACACACACACCTTCATCCTGCTCAAAAGATCTCACTCCATGATACTGTGTAAAATATTTTTGCACTGTTGTGAAGTATTTTTGACATCTTTTTTTGTACATAACTGTTCTCAGAGCTGGATGTTTATATCTTTTGCTGTGCAAAAGGGACATGTAAAATGTTGTCAAGTTGTATATACAGAAATATGTATAAAACATTTTGTTATTTTTGAAGAGGAGCACTGCTCTGGTTTTGTCTGCTGCCCAGTGGGGAGAAAATAAAGAGGAAAATTGAACAGAACAGGTGAGCGTCTGGAACCACTGTTGAGCATGCTTGGCGGTGGGGGTGGGAGAAGGTGTGTCCATGCCGGGATGGTGTGGTTAGACAGCAATGGCCTTTGCCTTGTTTGAAGGTGATTGAGGAAGGGAAACCCACTTTATGCGAAGTCTGGGGCCTCCCTGGCCTTTTGCCACTCTGGATACTGTGGCTGGGACATCCTTCTCAAGTATATCCCATATTCTTCATTAATTAACTTATGGGAATGTGGGTTTTCTCTGGTCTCTGAGTTAATTCTTGGAGATGCAGGGTGAGTTCTGTTCCTCACTCTCAGATCTGTGAGGTTATTTAGGGAGAAGTGACTTTCAACATCTTGTGAGGTTTTACCACCTCCTTCTGTGGTTCATGTTAATGATCAAATGTAAGAATACGATACAATCTTTTCCTTTACATAAACAGCTCAGGGAGCTTTAAAGACCAACTAGAAACCTAAAGAAAGTCTCCTTGGGGCTCTCTGAGGAGTGGGACCATCTTTGTTTTTTTCCTGGGAGGAAAATCAAGGCTAGAGGAAAATTGGTAAGTTCCAATGATGGCATGAGTGAGTAGAGATGCAGGGGGGCTGGGTGGGGAGGCAGGTGGAATACCCTTCCACAATCCAGCATGACCCAGAGGAGTCATGACCTAGAGACAAGCTGTTAGAGCTTGGTGTGTGTATGTGTGTTTTAGGGCTTGCATGCTTTCTGTGTGTTTGTTTCTGTTCTAAATTCCAAACAGATGTCTGTAATTTGGCTACACCCGGTCAGCTAGAAGTTATAATAAGATGCTGCCAAAATTGTGCCTTCTGCAAATTACTTTTTCCCCTTTCACCCTTTGGGCCCCCTTTTCTGTATTGCAGAAACGGATCGCACGCCTGGCCTTCCCTGGTGTCTGAGGCCACTTTGCTTTCTTTTCATCATAAATATGTTCTGAGCAGCTAGACCTGAGATTTTAAGGAATCTGGAATTCACTGGACCACAGAGGAATGGAGGACGAAAGGTTTTTCTTCCTAATTAACAGGAGTGGTTCGGGCATAAGACTATCTTTAGAAAAGCAAAGCAAAGGGTTGGGTGGGTGGGAAATAATTTTAAAATAATCACTTCTTGAAGGGCGTTAAGACAAGGTCCAGGCCTTTGAACCTATCATCTTTTGGTTTGGTTGAGAGTCCCTTTCCCTGAATACCTCAGATACACATTACTGAATGACATTTTAAAACCCCCAGCTAGAGAGGTCAGGAAAGTCAAATCCCATCCTACCTAGACACCCACATCGTGTACCTTCCACGTTGTTCTCACCTGGCTGGCAGACACCTGTGTGGGTCATCACTATCTTGCGGGACTAGATTTCACATTTCAAATTATTTCCACACATTGCCAAGTTCCTTTGCTATTTGAAACTGATGAGAACATTAAACAGGGTGACGATCATATGGCTAATACTTGGAGGTAGGGCCAGGTCTGCATGTCTTCATTCTTATCCAGTTTATGTGTCTAGTGAGAATACTGAGGTTGGTTTTTCATCTGTGACTGATGGGGGTATGGTGACTGATCAAAAAGTTCAGACAAATGACGTTTAAACCAACACCATCAATAAATATAAGGCAACTGTCTCTTTAAAGTCTGTTAATCTGATTTATAAATAAGGAAGGGGGCTTAGGGGTTGAAGAAGGAAGAAGAAAATAAACAGATTGCAAAAGAACCAGCTCCTTTCCTCCCCCCACCTGGTGCCCTCCTCGTCCCTCCTTTCTCCCCTTTGCTTTTGGCTTTTATCCTCACTGCACCCTAGGGCTCTGGCTGATGTAATTCTAGAAGAGATGTGAAGGTGATACATGATTCAGTCTTCTAATGTCTCAGTCCTCCAGGGATGATATCACTAGCGTAAGAAGATATGTTTTAAATGAAAGAAAACACACACACACACACACAAACTAAAAACCAATTTGCTCCTGACACTCGGAGGAAAAAGAGTGGCAGTACAAAAGCAAAACTCAGTGCAAGTGGACGAAATACCTGTGCCAGAAAGCACCTGAGTTCTGTCTGGTTCACTCATCAAATGTAGCTTTTCCTTCTTGCAAGGTGAGACTTGTGTTTCTCCTTTATGTAACCCGATGGTGCTTTAAATGCAGTGAGACACTCTCCATGTTTTCCCAGCCTAAGCGATCCTCCACGTCCAACAGTGCGGCACCGACGGCCTGAAAAACGGCGTGACTTCTGCAGCAAGAGACACTGTTGCAGGGTGGCTGTGTGAGTCCATCCATCAGCTTCTCTTGTTTGTTTGTACAATTTGTGGTGTGTTGAGGGGGAAGGAGGGAGGAGTAGGACAGTGTAAAATAAACGATAGTATTACCCTGCTCCACACACGCATGCTCCCCTTAAAAAAAAAAAATCTCTCTTACTGCCCTACAGTCAGCAGAACAGTAGATTTAAAACAAATTAGAAAGGCTCTGTTATACTAAGAAAGCATGGTTCCCTCCAAGGGACAGAGTTGCTTTGAAGGGTTCTGCTTGTGAAAGAGAGAACTGGCTGCGGAATCCATCCCTGGCACCACACTGGAGTTGAAAAAACCTCATGGGAGTCACCAAGGATCACGAGAAACATAAAAATTCTATTAGGAGCAAGTTGCCCTGTTTCTAACAGGATTTAGTAATTTAATAAGCAGAACTCTTTCCTCTGTGTGGTATGCATCAGTAGCCCCAGCATCTGCTAGTAAGTGATGCATGACAGAGCTAGAATGTGCGCCGACTGCTGGGGCCAGGAGCCATGTCTGACATGTGGGAAACTACTCAGGGCTCCGGGCGGCCGGCAGGCCAGAGCGGCTGTGCACTGTAGGTACCAGGTTTTTCTGCAACATGGCCATATCTGGATCTGGTTTTACTCTTAGCTGGGGCCTTTCCTGCTCCTGCTGGCTTATCCATCTTCACAGGCCACAGTGTGCTTTGGACCAACCCCCCGCCTCCCTCCAGCTTTTTAAGTGACCCAATTTGAGCAGTCTTGCCTCACCACCATTTTATTTTGGTGTTTTGAATGGCTAGGTGGCCCTGCAGGTTGGCACTCATTCCTTCCCCTCTCTAGGGCTGTTCAGTGGGTCCAGCAAAGGTCCTTGTTTCTAACCTCCACGGAGAGTGGCCCCTCTGACAGCTTCTACTGCATCTCCTCTTCATCTCTCTCCCAGCCCACTCCCTCCTGTAACACATCCTGCTTCTCTGGCTTTAATTCCCCAGCTTCCCACCCGATGCCGGCTTCACTTCTCTTCCCACAAACCTAGTCAGACCTTAGATCACCGAAAAGGAAAGAAAACCCAAACTTTAAGGGCAAAACAAACCGAGCACACGTTGATCAGGCAGCACCACTCTGGCAAGTCCACGGCGTGCTCGGGCCCCGCCCCAGCTTAGAGATGAACAAACCGGAGCAAAGAAGGATGTCTTGCCCAAGGTTACACCAAAGGGGTCAAAACCCTGAGGCCCAAACTCAAACCCATTCTCTTTTCATAGTCCTTCTGTTTTTATGGCTTACAACCAGATTTTTAGCTTTATGCTGGCCGAAACTGACACGGCACTGTGATGCCATTCATCAGCCTGCCACTCCCATCCCCAAGTGTGAATGAGTATCTACTAGCTGCACCATGCTAGAGTAGAGAAGTCAGGTGTCTGTCTTTCTGGGGAGAATGCTCTAGGTGGGTGGGTGGCAGCCCCCAGAGGAACACGGTCTTCTCTGGCTCCCACCCCTGAGATCTAGTCTGGCAGCTCCTCTCCCTAGAAGAGCAGGTCTAGTTTAAGGGTGGGGGAGCACTCCCCATTGCATCATGAATATTATTAGTCATCTCTGTCTTTCCTGGTTGGCTGAGATATCCAAGGACAGGCATGTGTTTTTAGGCATCTATGATTCACCCAACTTAGCACAGAGCCTGGCACTCAGCAGGTGCTCAGGAAATGCTAAGGAAGGAGTAAAGAAGTGATTCCACTTCAGGCTAAGAGAATAGGTTTGATAAAGCTCAAGGTCGTCACCCAGATGGAGGAGCCAAGATTTTAAGGGTCTGTGTTCAGAAAGCAGGGAAGATTAGGATTCAACTGATTCCCTAACTCCACATTAGGTAGATTCAGTTCCCAGAAATTTCCTTGACCTTCTGAGGGAGGGATGGTTTTGGTTTGGAGAAAAAAGGTTTATTTGGAATTGGCTTTGAACGGTATTGGAGTCCCATCCCTGCTCATTTCAGTTCCAAGATTATTGCCAAAACTGCCTAATTTGAGTCCATTGAAGGGAGCAAGCCTGCCGGAGAGCCTTGGTTCAAGGTCTCATAGTGACCTGGACTCCCTCTGCATTGACTCAGTCAAGCCACTTCCCTTCTCTAGCCTCAGGATTCTCATAGGTAAAATGTGTGGGTTGGATTAGCTAATAGTGAGACTTTCAGCACAAATGTTTTGAATCGAAGGAGTAAAGGTTAAGGTCAAGTATGTTTATGTCTTCTTCCATCTCTAGTGGGACAGAATAGAAGAAACCTCTGACCGTGCGCTAGAAACTGTCCAGGGCTCTGGGAACAGAGTTCATCTTTAGGACCCACTGTGGCCAGGACCCTCCCCAGAGTCTAATGTAGAGGTGACATTCCTTTGGCCAAGCCAGAGCAGTAGTTGCCTGTAAGGACCCCTTTCATTACCTCAAAACTTGGAGACCATGGTGGGTCTTAAAATGGGGACTGACAATGAAATTAAGGGACAGGTTAGGGCCCATAAAATGATCATTCAGCAAGTTGGGGCCAGAACTCAGGTCTCCTGGCTCCAAGTCCTACACTCTTTTTCTCGTATCTTTTGGGTTGGGATAAATTAATTTGAAAGCAATCCAGACACTATCCAAGGAAATGGGCAGAACCTTAGTGTCTGATCAAAGTCCATGTGGGTACCTGGCAGCAAGGTGTTTTGTTTTCCTAACAACAGAGACCAGAACCCACCTGCACCAAGTCTGGGAACAAGAGGGAGTTGATAATCTGAGCAAGCTTCCCCATCAACCCTTGCACTAGGCTCCTCTCTGGCCTGGAACCACTCTAGTTCTAGATTCTCCTCCTGGTAGAATTTGTTCTCAGCTGCCTGTCAGTGATTCTTCCTCCCCTCAGTTCTAGGATTAGCCAACAATGGCTCAAGAGGTCACCAGCTCACTCCAAGGTCTTCTACCCTGTCTCTCTCTCAGATTCCGAAAGCCAGATGCTCAGCGCTTCTCCAGGCCAGTCCCTTCTTTACCCAGATGGGGAAATTGAAGCCCAGAATTTACGTTTTTATAAGGACTCTTGCATATAAAAAGGCTTTGAGATATAAAAGCTGAGTAAAGAGGGTATTTCAAGCACCATGATGGGAGGAAGCTAGAGTGGCAAGAAGAAATCTTTTGTTGCAGGGAGTACCTCTCCTAACATTACAGATGTTCTCCTAGCATCACAATCCATATTCCTGAAGGTTCCACTCTTGCAGCTGAACTCTTTTTTTTTTTTTTTTCCACTGTTCAAGGTTTATTTGGCATTTTTGTTGGTATGACACTTGGATAGTTGGCTACATTATTTATATGTAGACTTTTCTTTTTACAGTATATGGCAATATACACTAATCTGATACATATAGTACACGGAATAAAATCCTTTAGAACAGTTATGCACAAGACATGCAATACTGGATTTATACATTGGATCCCAGGATGAAACTGATTGGAGAAAAAAAAGTTGGACTAAGCATGTTGGGTAAAGGAACCAGAAGTTACATAACACAGTGAACACACATCTAGTTTGAAGGGCAATTGTAGTGTGTGCAACACTGGCAGGGGTGCCTTTGAGGAGGTAGAACTATTTCACACTAGCTTGTTTAGGATTGCACAGGGTGAGTACCATCCAGCACCAGTATATAGCTGCAGGGTTTTATGAACCATTACTATTTCTATCTTTAGGAAACTGATGTTTTTAGTCACAAATCAGATAAAAAGGATAATATGCACAATCTCCAACTAAAATCCTGTGGTAGCCTAGACAGTTACATGAGGTGGTATGACATGAGAAGACTTTAAAACTGCAGCTCTTTCCGGATCCCCCAAAGTGTGTCTGCACTCTTCTTCAAACAGGCCTCTTCCTCAGCTGTCAGAACCACCTTCACAACATCCGAGATTCCACTCTGTCCCAAGATGCAAGGAAGACGTCGTCCTTTATTCCATAGAGACCCTTAATCATGGTGGAAATTGGATGCACCCACCTAAGATTCTTCATCATACTTTCTGCTAAATCTGCCACAGACAGTCCAATGGCCCAGGATGTGTAGCCTTTAAGTTTGATCACCTCATAAGCACTGTCAACCACCTGTTTGTGAACTTGTTTCCATTGTTCCTTATCTGTATCAGTGCCTAATTCAGGGTGCAGGGTCTTTAGGGTGACACCAGCAACATTCACTCCACTCCATACAGGCACACTAGAGTCTCCATGCTCCCCAAGGAGCCACCCATGACAGCTTAATGGGTGAACTCCCAGCCTCTCCCCCATTAGGTAATGGGACCGGGCTGAATCCAGATTGCAACCACTTCCAAGAACACGGTTTTTGGGAAAGCCACTTATCTTCCAAGCCACATAGGTCAAGATATCCACTGGATTGGAAACAACGAGCAATTTGCAGTTGGGACTATATTTGACAACATTAGGAATGATGAATTTAAAGATATTCACGTTACGCTGGACCAAATTAAGACAGCTTTCTCCCTCTTGTTGATGTGCCTCAGCTGTGATAATCACCAGCTTGGAGTTTGCAGTCACACTATAGTCCTTGCCAGAGGCAATTTTTGGTGTTTTAAGGAAAAGGCTGCCATGTTGGAGATCCATCATCTCTCCCTTTAATTTGTCTTCCATGACATCAACGAAAGCAAGTTCATCTGCCAAGTCCTTCATTAAGACACTGATGGCACAAGCCATGCCAACAGCACCAACTCCAATAACTGTGATTTTATTCTGGGGTCTTTGTTCCTCCTTAAGAAGATTCACAATCAGCTAATCCTTGAGCGTTGCCATACTGGACTGAGGAATCGAGAGTGCATGGCGGGCAGGCGTCGGTGGTGCGCGACATTGGATCCGGACTTGGCGGCAGCTGCTCCGGTACCTGCAGCTGAACTCTTACACAGAGAAAGAGAAAGTGATGTTTCCAAGGTCACATGAGTTCATGGGGATGGGGATGGGTGTGGGGTGGGTAGGGCCATTGGGTCCTTCACCAGTACTCTATCAGTTCTGTGTTGCAGTTCAGGTCTTGCAAATGATTCCCAGATAGCATCTACAGAGATACAAAACCATCATCAGTTCCTTACCTACAGCTGCTGTCTGTCCTCCTCCAAGGCTTTCTCTGCAGATAAACCTGTCTCAGCCTTTGCATGCAAACTTGCCCCCAGTGTCCTGGATTCCCAGGGTAAACTGCTCACCACCTGATTTCCAATAGAGAAGCTTATCTCTGCATGGACCAAACCACATCGCCTATCTGAATGAGATTTGTAGACACACCAAGGTGTGTGGGGCCTTTCCTCTTATATATATATAGCAGCTGTTACAGATGAAGGAAGCTCGCCAAGTCCATGGCTGGTCAGACCTTTTTGGATGTGTTCACACTGATGGAGTCAAAACAGGCTTCAATTCCATTGACCCAGGTGTTAGCAAATTACCGACATTAATGAACAAATGTGGGATTGGGGGGCTAGGTTGGAGTGGAGAGCAGTATTCTCGTGGGTGAGGCTGCAAAGTATTGCGGAAAGAGAACTGGACTTGAGACCCGGGTCTAGCCCTGGTTTTCTCATACATTCCCTCTTTGATGTTGGGCAAGTTTCCTTTGGGGGCTAGTTCTTCCTGTGAAATGGAGATACTGCAGTAATATTTAACCAAACTACCTCTCAGGTGGTTTGGAGGCTCAAAATCTAAATATTGGATGAGTAAGTGCTTTGTAAAGTGCAGTACAGGAAAGGAGTGGTTGCTGCTGGAATATTCAGACTGAAATAACATAGTCGGGAGGAGGGAGCCTCCAGGCTCCTCCACAGGGCGAATGTGTACATGGGCAGGGACATTTTCCATGAAACATGGACCAGGGTTTACGGAGGGAAAACAGCAAAAACGGGGAAGTAATCTATTAAATATAGGAAGCAGTAGGTGGGTATGTAAACGGAAGGCTTTATGTGGAGAGATACGGACTAATTTTCCGTCTGAAGTTCTAGATACCGACACGTGCTGCGTGGCTCCATCTCCAGCCCGATGTCTCCTACCCACTGTGGCAGGAGAGCACGGCAGCTGCCTGTGCTCTCTGGCTAGAGTTTTATTTGTTCCTTATAATGGGATTCATTTTGTCAGTATGTGATTATCAGCCCAGACCAATGTTTCTAGTGTGATTAGTATTCTATACTCACACACACACACACACACACACACACACTCCTTCCCAATACTTTCCATACATATTTGTAATCGTGATTTCATTTCCTTCTCGAATAGATTGTTCCTGAAATGGACACGCCCCTCCTAAAGCTAATCCTTTAGACCAGTAGTTCTCAACCTTCCTAATGCCGTGACCCTTTAATACAGTTCCTCATATTGTGGTGACCCCCAACCATAAAATCATTTTTGTTGCTACTTCATAACTGGAATTTTGCTACTGTTAGGAATCGCCATCGGAAATAAGTGTTTTCCGATGGTCTTCGGTGACCCCCTGTGAAAGGGTCGTTTGACCCCCAAAGGGGTCGCGACCCACAGGTTGAGAACCGCTGCTTTAGACTGTTTTCTAGAATGTGGAGGTTCTGAGGTTTTCCTTGGAGACATTCTATATAGAGTACATACAAGAATACCTAGGACCCTCTTACCCTGATGAAACTGTGGTGTGTGTGTTACTGTGGGTATGGCTAGGACTGTGCTCAAGGGTGCGTATGAGCCGTATGTAAACTCAAGTTGTTGTGGTTGGCATCAGTGTGAAATGATCAGTGAAAACTCATAGCGCAAAGAGAGAACTATGCTGATCCTCCCAGATTTCTGCCAAGGAAAACTTCAAATCACATCACCCTTTCCTTTCTATTATACCCTTAGTTTTCTCTTTTGTTTGTTTTTAATCTTAAAAGGTTCTTAAACTAATGGAAATCACCAGTTTCCTCTAGGAATGCTTTATACTGCTGGAGACCGTGATTCAAAGAGGCCCCGTGCTAGGATGACCATAGATTCTGGTTTGCTCAGGGCAGTTCTGTTTATGCCTGATGTCCTCACATAATTATAGTCACTTAATGATGGGGATATGTTCTGAGAAATGCGTCACTAGGTGATTCCATTGTCATGTGAACATCACAGAGTGCACTTGTGCAAATCTAGATGGTAGAGCCTGCTACACACCTAGGCCATGTGGTATAGCCTGTTGCTCCTATGCTACAGCCTGTACAGCATGTTCCTGTACTGAATACTGCAGGGTAATGTGTTGTGCTAAATATGACAATGGCTACGATGTCACTAGGGTCACTAGGCAATAGGAATTTTTTAGCCCCATTCTAATGGTTTTAGGACCACCATTGTATATGTGGTCCATCCTTCATCAAAATGTTCTGTGAAAGTATGGGCACATGACTGTGTAGTAGAGCCACCTCTCACTCCCAAAATGTCTTAGTTTGGATGATAAATGATATAGTTTCCTTACCTATGAGCTAAGTGATTTTGACCTTAATTTGTGCATGTCTTCATTCATTCATTTCTCTTCTCCTTTACTGAGGCAACACCTGTAATACATCTATTGTGTGCCAAGCCCTGTGCTAGCTCTGGGGGTGAAGTGAGGGATAGGGGTGGGAAATGAGAACAAGAAGTAGTCTTTGTTCTCATGGAGCTCATAATCCAGTGGAAAAGACCAAAACATGTAACACCTACCCTACAGGAAAAGAGGTTTGGTCAGTTGATGTGTACAGTATTGGGGGAATACAGAGGAGGGGCAGCCAACTCCCCCCAACTCCCCAAGGAAGGGAGGGGTGGTCATAGAGGGCTTCACAAAAGAGATAATCATCCTCTTTAACCATCACAGTGGTCTCCTCAAAGGCTCTGGCTGAGTCATAAAATCTTGCTTGATCTAGGTTCTAAAGGAAGCATAGTCCTCTACAGCTTTTTTGGGTTGTGGGAGTTGGGGTGGAGGGGATGTTTTTTATAACTCCTATTGGCTGTAGCTTCTCTCCAGCCCTGTACTTCTAAGGGCCCTTTCAGAATTATATGTGGGGTTTCTTTCTCATTGGTACAATTCCTGACCCATGAACTTGGCAACCAGAGGAATAAAATTTGGTTGGTAATTAAATAGGGTAAAGAATGCTAGCTGCTTTAACAAATCCCATACCCTCACTGGCTCGACATAATAAGACTTTATTTCCACCCAGGCTCCTTGTATATTGTGGCTCCACCATCTTATAGAGCAGGAGTTATGGGCCAAATTGGGCCTGATGGCTGTTTTTGTATATGAAGTTTTATTGGAACACAACCATGCTCATTCATTTACCTATTGTCTATGCCTGCTTTGCACTACAATAGCAGAGCTGAGTAGTTGCAACAAAGACTGTAGCCTGCAAGCCTAAAATATTTACTATTTGGCCCTTTACAGAAAATGTTTGCTGCCCCTTGCCTTAGTGCAGCGGTTCGCAACCTGTGGGTCGCAACCCCTTTGGGGGTTGAACAACCCTTTCACAGGGGTTGCCTAAGACCATTGGAAAACACGTATTTCTGATGGCGATTCATAACAGTAGCAAAATTACAATTATGAAGTAGCAACAAAAAATAATTTTATGGTTGGGGATCACCACGACATGAGGAACTGTATTAAAGTGTCGTGGCATTAGGAAGGTTAAGAACCACTGCCTTAGTGCCTCTGAATTTTCTCTGGGTCATAGGCTTCTGGCCAGAGAATGTCCTCCAGTGAACAGAGTGTGTAAGGTCATTTGAAAGTTTTAATGGGTATGCCTAAAAGTGATACATACAACTTCTGCCCACATTCCATTGGCCAGAACTCAGTTCCTGGCAACGTGTAACTTCAAGTGTAGCTGGGAAATGTAGTCTAGCTGTGTGCTCAGAAGACGAGGGAAGTGGGCTTGGCGAAGAGGCATACAGTCTCTGCAACAGAGACTCTGACCACTGGCCCAGGTTTATCTGAGCTAAGGCTTCAGGAGGATCAGGGGGAGATTATTTATAAGAGTTTGTGAAGGCATTCTTCTCCAACACACCAGGCAGATCAAAAGCTCTGCCAGGAGAGTCATTCTGTTCCTTGTCCTGGGTTGGACCAGCCACCTGAGGGTCTGTGTCCTTCTCTCTCACAGAGGCGTCAGCTCTTCCCATTAGGGAGCCTAGACACCTGGGGAGAGGGATGGCTCTGCTTTCCAAGTAAGAGGGAGGCCTGGACAGCTGTGTGAGTGGTCACTGCCTGCTCTGTGAAGGCTCTGAATGAATTCCACCCTCCGCCCAGAGGTCTGATAGAGGTCCACTGTCCCCTGCCAGCTAACTAGCATACTGGCTCAGAGTGTGGGCAGAATAAGGGGACTTTTACTTTATACTATACCCTACTGGTTGGATTTTTAATTTTCTTAGCACGTTACATTTATAATAAGCTAATATAATTAAAAATAAAAAAACCATATAATGTATTTTAGAAATATTTTAATTCAAAATGAAAATTTTAAAAGGCTTATGGAAACTAACAGGATTATTTGGAAAATTTACTGGTGTTAATGAATTATGGCATTACCTTATTCATTACTACTATTTGATACGTTTAGGGATAAATCTGCAAATAGTTTAAATAAATGTATCATTGTAAGAAAAAAGGGGAAGGAAGGAAGGAAGGAAGGAAGGAAGGAAGGAAGGAAGGAAGGAAGGAAGGAAGGAAAGAGGGAAGAAGGGAAGGAAGGGAGGAAGGAAGGAAGGAAGGAAGGAAGGAAGGA